TGGCACACATGCAATGCTTTTGAACCCTGAATCATTCAGTCTCTATTTCAGAGTCATTGTTGGCTATGGTTATCAGGACGCATTACTTATTATCCTCGCGCTATGTTGGCTATCGAGGAATGGGCGATAGCATGGGCATTATGGTCTTTGAGTAATGAACCTTTCCTGGTATTTCACAATGACACATGCACGCTTGTTCAACTATCATAATTCACAGCGCGTTGTAAAACAGTTCATAGATTGACGAATATTGTATACTAACAAGGGCGGCCCAAGCTATATATGTACGCAGAAAGACCGATTGTAGTGCAATGAATGGCAACCTCTGATCATAAGTCCTGCTGACTACCGACGTCCTTACAGGGGAATAGATAGCCAGCAACTGCTGCCCGTCTTCCCCTGTGGCAACATCTTTGATCCACGAGGTTGATGAAATGTGAACGTCTGTCCGCAATGATCGTTCTTGCACTCATAAGTATAAACCCTTGCCTTGCTCGCAGATCGCCAAGCCTGTGCCCATCCGCATCCTGGACATTGGAAGGGCAAATACTGCCCCCAAGGACGGTTGTCGACATTCGCCCAGCTAAATTTTACCACCGTAAGCGATCCCAACTCCCTGTTCTTCTTCAGCATTAAAACGATATCGGTGTGCCGTCCAAGTCGGTTGGATTGGCCAAGCATGTGAGGAAATGCGATGCCGATTTCCCATCGTTCGATAAGGACGAGCTCTGCGAATGCAAGTAGCAGATGGCATGTGAAACCGGGCTGGAATCGGACTGCGGTAAAGGCAATGGCTGCAGTGATTGGGTTACTAGGCTAGGGTAAGTCTGAATTCTTGATGAACAATGAACGTAGAAGACGTACCGGTCGACCCAGGTTCGTAATGCAGCGGAGGACTTAGGTTTGTTGACAAGGGCGCCGCAGCAAAAGAGCCAGAGATAGGACTCCTGTGCACGATCGAGGAGAGCCTTCCATGGTTTGAAGAGGACGTCAAGGAACTTGGAAACATATGAACGATGAATGGTTTTGCTGCAAGGGAAGGGGAACCGTACTTACATTTTGTACCGTCGCAGAAATGTAGTTCTTGCCTCGGTATCCTGCAAAGAGATCCCCGCTGTCGCTGTCCGAATGATTCGTAATGGCAATCACAACGCGAGTCCAACGCGGCTGAGGCAGGAGGTCGTTCAAAAGCTTGCCGACGTCTTGTTCATATGTGGCGAGCTTGGATTGCGTCGCGATATCACAAGTAACCCTCCTGGTACTGCAACCCGCCCCGTGGAAAATACGGTTCGAGGAAATGGTAGGCCAGTTCGAATGGCCCACTGGTTTGCGTCGAAATTCACGAGTTTGAGATGGAGAAACAGAACGGGTACTGCAGACATCTCTCCTTTAAGCGACACTTCGACGGCGGCGAGGATGGGCAGGAATTCTGCCAGTAAGGGAATTCCGTCCTTGTAAAATCCCTGTTGAATAGATAAATCGTCAGTCAAGGTATATATAGATGTAATAACTTACAAAATAAGGCGCTGGAATATCATTGTCCTTTTGCTCCCTCACGTGACAGACGATGCAAATGAAGGAGACGTCGGCAGCCGTCACCGCCGCTTGGCAGTTCTTGGGAATGTTCAAGCACTCGATACAAGTGACCCGCGGACATTCGTTACAACAAAAAATTCTGTTGCTTGATCCATCTCTGCAAACGATGCAGAACTAAGTAGGTGTTGTTTGGTTAGCGACATTTGATCTCGAATGGGAGGGATGTTTGACATACATCGTTATGCTCCAATTCATCCTCATCTACATCTTGAGTCTGCGCAACTGAAGTATGGTCGACGGTGCTTGAGAGCAACATTCGTTCTGCGGTTCCTCCGGTGGACTTCCTTGCTGTAGTCTTCATCTCGGGCATTTTGACACTATGAGGGAGGGGCGCGTTGTAGACTTTGCAATGTAGGATGTGAAGCAGTGTGTGTTTGTGGACGTTGTAGGTCTTTTTAATTGACTTGCCTTGAGGTCACGCAAATACTGGTATACAATATTCAAACCCCGGCTCATCGTTCGCAGATTTGCCATGAGGCTTGGCCCATGTTTTACTTTATTTCATAGCTGCGCTTAATTCCCTCGCGCGTTCTCATTTGAAACGTTACATATATAATTCATTTTCTACCTAAGTTGATCTACAGTAGGTCGCTATGTATTAGGATTATTTAAAATACATGATTCACCTATATATTGTGAGCCGGCGGATGAGTTAGCTGAATGTGACGTGATGTGAATGTGGAAAACCGTGAAGCGTTTGCTGTAGATCACATGATTCACGCGCTATTTGTTTGTATTTGATCATTGTTTTCATGGTTGATTGCGTGGCGTGAGTTTATTTGCTTTTATTTGTGCATGGTTGATTTTTGTCGTTTTTTCCTCCAAGTCTTTCCTCCCTCCCACTTCATCGGCGTGCCCAACGTCCTTCTCCAAGGTCTCCTACCTCCCACTCATCAGTGCGCCTGCCATTTCACTTCTCTCTCCCACTCATTGGTGCGCCCAAGGTCCTATTTCTCCCCTGTCTCCTCCCTGCCACTCATTGGCGCAGCCAAAGTCCTCTTTCTTCCCTCTCTCCCTTGTCTCTCCCACCCATCGGTGCGCCCAAGGTCCTCCTTCTCCCTTGTCTCCTCCCTGCCACCCATTGGCGCACTCAAGGTCCTTTTTCTCCCTTGTCTACCCCCTGCCGCTCATTAGCGCACTCAAGGTCCTTCTCCCTTGTCCTCTCCCTGCCACTCATTGGCGCGCCCAGGGTCCACCTTTGGAAATGGGGTGTGTTTCTTTGTGTCCTGCGGCCCTGCTAACCGTCGCCCCCTCTTGCATCTCCCCCCACGAGCTGTGCGATGTCTCGCAGAGACTGCCGCTCATCCGTTTGTATTAGCTGTGCAATGTCTTTCAGGGGACTGCTGCATTTGAGTTCCGGGGGCTTACTTTGTGCACAGCACCAACCGTCTAGCACTTGTCTCCTCGTACGAGGGGACAATTCCAACGTACGTTGGAGTTGTGAGATTCGGGGCGGCGCCCCCTCTGCCCTGTACAGGGCAGGGTATGCTTGGGCAGTACTGCTCAGGCGGGGTTGCTGCTGGAGATTAGAGTTCTGGGGGATAGATTTACATATATGCCTGTGCCATGATCCTGCAAGGACTGCCGGCTTTGGGTTCTGGGGGATCCATTTTGTTTACAGCGCCAACCGTCTAGCACTCGTCTCCTCGTACGGGGGGGACGATTCCAATGTACGTTGGAGTTGTGAGATTCGGGGCGGCGCCCCCTCTGCCCCGTACCGGGCAGAGTATGCTTGGGCAGTACTGCTCAGGCGGGGTTGCTGCTGGGGCTTTGAGTTCTGGGGGATATATTTGCATACGCCTGTGCCATGATCCTGCAAGGACTGCCGGCTTTGGGTTTTGGGGAATATGTTTTGTTTACAGCGCCAACCGTCTAGCATTTGTCTCCTCGTACGAGGGGACGATTCCAACGTACGTTGGAGTTGTGAGATTCGGGGCGGCGCCCCCTCTGCCCCGTACCGGGCAGAGTATGCTTGGGCAGTACTGCTCAGGCGGGGTTGCCGCCGGTGCTTCGATTTCTGGGGAATATCTTTATTTACGCCAGTTTCAAGGACTGCCAGCTTTGGATTCCGGGGATATACTAACATTTGCCACACCGATAGTCTAGCACGGGTCGCCTTGTAGGCGGAGGCAATTCTGCTGTATGCTGAATTGTAGTTTGGCGCCGCTATACTAGCTCTACCCTGCATTGAGCCCAATATAACTAAGTTATATTTCATCTATTTGAGGCGCTTACGCAAAAGAGGCCACACAAACCAGCGAAGATCCAGAACAGAGATGCGGCATCACAGATTGGACGCTTCGCCCTCACAAATCGACGTCTGCCAACACTGAAACCGCGCTAACACTTCACCAATACCCCTCAAAATGTATACGGCCACCTTATACAGTGTTGCGCAGGACACAGTTGCATCGTGGAATACTACTTTGCCAGGCTAACAGCCCTTACAGTAGGGCACTGTGTCTTGACGGTTTTATTTGTTTGTTGCAATATAGAAATATAAAAATTGACTCTCTCTCTCTGATGTAAACTCTCTCTCCGACCCACATAAGCCAATACAAAGGTAACTGCAATCAGGCGACATATAATGACAGTCCCGTTGTTGTAAATGTGAATGTGAATGCTGACTGCGGACTTTTTCATTACACAGACCAACTCCCTGTTCCAGGCTACTAGTGGGTATGGGAGTGCAGAACCACGCCTGAGGAAAGAGGTGGCAGAAATTATGCACCAGCTCTTGTGATATCGTACGTCTGTGGATCGACGTTATCGCCTGTGATGTAACACTACATCTTTATCAGCCAAATGCCCCATTTTTGTATACAATGGAAATGAATGGCATGGGTTTTTCTTACATTTCATAAAGGTCGAGGATTGTAAGAAGGAAGGGCACGTTTCTGCATATGTTATGATTATGCTTTTAATTAACCCCTATACATACCGACAAGCAGTACGGACTGTCACAGTATCTACCGATGCTGCTCTGCTACACTATCATTGAACCTGTTGTAGACATCGAATGAGAATACCAAGTACGAAACATATTTAATTCCCTGCATTGACGGAAACTGTTTGTAAAAGGGTCAAGGGCAACGCCCACCTGGGCAAGGGGACTGATTTCTGATTTGCCAGCGCGATATGCACCCAAAGTGGAAGGGTGCCAAACATAAACACATTAGCATTGTTTGGATATATAGCCAGGGCACGTTTGTGATGCCCTGCATCTTTGAAGCCTCGTTTTGTCAACAGCCCTGTCATATACATCTAAAAATGTCAAACGTCAACAGTAGAGGTAAGGTCGTCATTGACCCCTATTATGGCGTTTCCCTATCGCGCATTAATACGCTAATACATTAATATGATAACGGCCCGCTTTTCAGGAAAAGCCATGTTAACGAACATTGGGAAAAGACCGGCTGCAACAGTGCCGCTGGCAAAACCCATCACCTTCTTTGCAATCCCTCTTGTCAACGCAGAATGGATCTTGGACGAGAGTGCAACTGAGGTGTCATACCGAGCACCGGAAGTAACGGATGTCATTGACTTCGCCTCTGGAGAGAAGTTCCAAACCTGCCGCGTGCCCGTTGTGAAGGGCAAGAGGGTAACAGGATATGTACCGCTGCCCATGCGATATGTGGGGGTATGGTTACAGTTATCATACACCATCGTTCTTTACACACATATGTGGAGACTTTGGTCCGAGGAGGAGGAGGAAAGTACAAGGAAGACATCGAAGGCGAAGGCTGCGATTTTGCGGCAGAATTCCGGTGCCATGGTCGCGCAACACATGCTCGCTCGATTGCTTGCTGTGGACGAGCTAGTTAGCTTATCACATGATACCACAAGGCCCGGGGAAGAGCACGTCCGAATTCTCGATGAGTGGAAGATTCGTTGGACAAGGGACTGGTTCACCTCCACATATGATGACATCGTTGGCTCAGGGGCCAAGTTCTTGAATGCAGATCCTGTCAGCCCCGAAAACCAAGAACTGTTCGGTGAGTTAATCTTGTGGTCGTGCGATGTCTAGCATGATTTGATGATGTACATATAGAGGGGGACTGGAACATACATGAGGAGGGCATCGAGCTGTTGAGGGCTCCTGAGAACCTGAAGCATTGGTTTTACGGCGAAATCAACGGCCTTGACAGGTTATTCGCGACAAAGTTGAAAAAGCAGGCTCTAGCATCATTGAAACCGACCAACGATTACAGCCAGCGTCAGTACAGTGATGAGGCAAGGCTGCCAGCAAGGTGGCATGAGGGACACCAACCAACTCCATATTTCTGGACAGTCAAACAGTGGACCTGGGTGGCAGAAGGTGCGAGAATGAGCGGTTGGATGTTGTCCAGTGCAGGACCTAAGATCATCGTGTGTTGCAGGCAACAACTTGTGGGAAAAGCCTATCGACCTCCTGTACTACTGCATCACAGCGGACCCGCCCTATACCCACTCTCAGCAGCTGATGAGGGAGCTAAATTCCCTCCTCTCCATCATCGTCCGAAGACCACGGCGGCAGGAAGCCGAATCCCTGTTAACACAGCTTTGGACGGGGGAGATGACATGGAGGGAGTTTGTGGACGCCCTTATGCAAGATCATTTCGATAACGTTGATGGAGTCATAGCCCAGACATCAGAAAAACGAGGTACCTTTTATTTATCGCTACCTTTCTTCATTTCTGTATCATTCATCATTCTGCCATTTCCAGACCCGGAAAATGTATTCAATACGTTGGAGGCTCGTTTAGTTCTGGAAGGATACATTCGCCGGCAGAAAGAGGCAAAAAATAATCAACCATGGGATGTTAAAGATGATATTCTTTGGAATGCTCTGGGCAGAGTTGCACCCATGAAGTACAAATCTGGCTGGGAATGGATTATCTTGCAGATTGTGTCAAACCAGAAGGTAACTGAGGTGTTGCAAGCAGCAGGGCCTTGGTGGAAGAAGTCCCAGTTGGCTGGTGTGTGTTGGTCAAAGTCTGGAGTCGAAGTGTTGATTTTACCTTTGGTCCATAGGGAAGCAACGGTTGCAAAATGCCGCTGCTGAACAGGCTGAGGAAGACAATCATGACGACAATGCAGACGCAACTGGCGACCCAGACCCTGACGTCGGAAGCCAACAGCAAGCGAGCGTTGGTGAGTGTCATTCAAGTCTGCTTGGACCAGCTATCCGACCATGCGTAGGTCCATCAGGTCCTGATATACAGATGCAGGAGGGGGATAACCCTGACAACGGCCGTCCAAACGAGAGACCCCAGGATACAGGTGAGAAAGTTCAATCCATTCTATGGAAGAAACTGTTCAACATTTGCCTGTAGTGATGGAAGACATCGTGAAGGGTTCTGCGGAGAATGGCGTGGCGCAGGGTCCTGCGGAGAATGGCATGGTGCAGGGTCTTGCGGAGGAAAGGACAGAAGGCACAGCTGGCCAAGACCAGCCTCGGCACCCTCATTCTTCAATCCCTACGGATCTACCTGGCCCTCCAACTCCCCCACTCACTGTGCCAGAAAGGATCGCTCTTTATTGTTATGAACAATTCCGGAAACATAAGTCCGTCGATCAGTTGGAATCCAACCTGCAAGAGGCATTCCCCGCGGATCACAGTGCCATCATCAAGCAATTCATAGACACTCTCAGAGTGTGGAATTTAATCACTGCTGACCCTCCATTACCGGCGCTGCATACCTTTGTACAGGGCCTGAGAGCAATAGAGGCCAGGCAAGAGTCGGAGCGTGTGCAAGACAGTCTCTTGTGATACATGGTGCGATGCCTGTGCTGCCATTCAACCGTTCTCCGTTCTCATTTTACGCATGTTACTCTGAAAACCATTGCATTGGGTACCCTCGGACGGGTAGAAATACTGGCGATGTAAATTTTGTATATGCTAGCCAAATACATAGATGAGTTGCGTGATGCCAATTGTTCACTGCGGAAACGAGAAAATGCCTGTTTCTAAAGTAGCACGTAGGATACAATTATGTATAGTGTACCACTTCTTTGCAATACTTCGCCAGTGTTGCTTCTCAGGCTCAACATCCATCATACATGCAGCCACAATGCCAATGCTCGGACTTGGCGAGTTGTCAACCTGTGTAACAGGACGATCAGAAGATGATTTGACGCTCATCTGCGACTTCGAAACAGCATCTGCGGTTAGTGCCGAGCCTTTCAATTGATTGTTGGTAACTATTGCGGCCATGGCCATACGATAGCGCGCAAGATCGCCAAGAGCTTCGAGCCAACTGGGTGGTGTAGAGACGTCAGTTGTATACATTCATTTGAGGCCAAGGCGATGTATATAAGATCCTACATATATATCAACGCCGCCCAGTCAGTCCATTTGCGCAAGAACATGAGCGAAATTATTACTACAACGATGATGGTTTAGCGGCTGCGGCAGGGAAGTGAGACATCAATCGTCGATCTCCATGGACGGGACATCGGGCTTGCTTTCCAACATCTCTGTATCCTCCTGAATGTTAGCGGCGATGTTCATCTGACGTTTGTTCTTCTTCCCTTTCTTCCCCTTGTGATTTTGGGAGGCAGCGCGTTCCTTGGCAGCGAGTTCGTTGGCAGCGTTAGTGGTTTCCACGAAGAAGTCTTGCAAGTTGGTTGAAGCGGGAAAATGATGCCAGAACAGCTGAGGCGCTAAGACCCTGTTCACCTTTGTGAAATGCTTGTTGTCTATATCAGTCCTGATTGATGACGACTTCCAGGAGCATTTCAGGCACCGAAGTTGGACCTTGGGACCATGATTGTGGACACGCATATCAGCCGGCGCTGGCTGACATCCAGGAGTAGCACAGGCCTTGAATTCATATCCAAAGGCCCGTACTCCTGGGATATCCTTGCCAATCTGACGACTTTCGACAACGCGCTTATTCTCCACTGTCGATGCATACACCACCACAGCTGTGGTGTAGTCCAGGAAGTCGTTTGAGGAGGACAGCATGTCGCAAACTGCCGTCCAAACGTCGGTGCGTCCGAAGACGCCAGTCTCAGCAATGAACGAGCGCACGGTGATGGACACCATGGAGGGCAAAGTGCCCGATCCTCCGAATGCAAGAACGAAATCTACCATATTGCTGCAAAAAGGTAAGTATAGATGTAGGAATGTAGAATGAGGTACTCACCTCTGCACCAATGTTTTCACGGCCTCGAAGTGGTGGCTTACCCTGATGGCAGGGCCACAGCTCACCATGAATAGTCCCCTCCTCCCGCCTCTGGCACTGGGAGAGAGGTCGCACCAAGGCACTTTCCCATTGGCAGTCTTCATCACAACCTTGTTGTCTCTGGCGGCCGTCGAAGATGCGTTCATGGCTTTCAAAAATGGCGCCCCAAGATAGGCAGTGAGGATTTCCGTGATTGTGGTACTAGTTCCCCCACTGTGACCTCCGGTGTGCTGCAGCATTCCAGTGTATTCATCTGAATGTGTATCCACGACAAGAAAGATGTTGGGTGGGAATCCAAGTAGGACGTTGCGATCAATGAAATCCACTCCCTGTACAAGCTTCTTCTGCTCGGACAAATGGGCGCCGCCCCTCATATGCAAAGAGGATGTGTACAACTTCGAAGCACATTTTTTAGATGTTATGACTGGGAATTGTAGTAATACTAATGGCACTTACATTGCCTTGAAACGAACGGAAATGGTTCTCCGCATCAAGAATGACAGTCCTTGCCAAATAATCATCTTTCATCGACTCCAGGGTGAGATTAATGATGGCCATAGGCCAGGCCATCTTCACCTTCTTTCGTCTACCAAACCCGATGAATGCGTAGCGCAACGGCGCGTCCTTGCCATCCACTATCCTTGAGCAGATGGGGCAGTAGAAATCTTTGGCGGCAACCTCCACAGTGTTCAAATAAATGCACCCACTGCCGCGGGCAACATGTTGCTCGCATATGATGGCACCACATTGAACGCATTCATGTTTGTGAGGGGAGGACGCAAGGTCACAGCAAAAGTGACAAAAAGTGCCGACGTATGAACCTGGTGTTGGGGAGGGGACAGGTGCGACTGTGAGGGGTAGGTTGACTGGGGGCTCAGCATTCGTATCACCAGAATCCTGATTTGCGGACTCCTGGTCCGAGAAAATACTGGAGACCTTCAATGGGGCACTAGCACTACCTGCCAAACCTGTCATACTGCCTATGTCAAGTTCGCCTGGGGCAGCTCTTGAAATGCCGCTGGCGATTGCGCCAACCCTGGCCCTTTTTTTGGGTAGATTGGCAGGCTTAGCAGTTCTTTTTTTGGGAGCCATGTGGATATTTGTGATTGGCAAGTGATTTGATGGGCAGTAAGACGGTAGAAGTTTGTTGATGTTCATCTTTGGCGTCATATATAGTCCCATACACATCGTTTGAAGATCCGATCAAAACCGATAAACGGCATTGTTCAGACCGGTCCGGGCCCAGCGACATAATACGACATCCTGGGCCTGGCAATAGAAAAGAAAAACACCAATATGAAGTTGTAATACAACACTGTCTAACATCTTAGACGGGTGCATATATAATCGACCTACTTGATGCAATCATGCGAAACGTGCCCCTCCTTCCTACAATCCGCACGACCTTTATGAAATGAAAGGACGATCCATGCCATTCATTTCAATTGTACACAAAACATGGGACGGTTGGCTGATAAAGATTCATACATACGACGTAGTGTTACATTACAGGTCAAAATGTCGATACGCAGAAGTACGATATCACAGGAGCTGTTGTATCATTTCTCCTGCCTCTTTCCTTGCCTTCGATGCCTCCAATGAGTCGCAGAAGCGAATAAAATGTCCATGCAAGCATCCTTCCTGTGTCAGATCATCGTCCGCCATGCCTTGCACATAGTCTTTAATGACTGCTGCACAATCAGCCGGGTAGTATCGTCTCAGCGTGGCTTGATACTGCTCCAAGGAGTGGTCTCGCAGGTATTCAGTAAGCTGCCTTACAGCCTCCTTCACGACATCACCCTGAGGCACTTCTGTTGTTGGGGGAGGAATTGGGGGATGGGTTTGCCGAATATGGAGGCGGTGCAACGGGGGGGCGGCGGCTGATACGTATCCATATCTTGGTCGGGAGAGTCGTTGTTCGGCCCAGCGGCAGGTTCTACAACATCTGTCTGGTGCTCTCTGTCTGCAAGAGGATTTGTGATAACTTCCATTGCTATCGTACAGTCAGCAACATCATCTTTTAAACAAGAGGAACCTTTTGATTGGCATGGGACATCTCACCGTTTGACCGGTCCCCAGCGGAGATATCTGGCTGTACTACGTCGGGAGAGGGCATAGAATGATGTGGGACATCATGCACGTCCATGCGAGCGTCATCGCCGGATGGCCCTAAGTACGTTTTAATTAGTTGTCAGACAGGCTGCAAGGTACCGCTCACCAGAACTCGCTCGTTGTTCCCCTCCAGGGCCCTTGTCTACTGTGTCACGTTCGAAATCATGATCATGGGGCTGATTGTCTACATCTGCCGTGTCATCCCCTGCATTCTGCAGGTTTTCGTTTTCTGTAGACGTTAATCAGGCGAAATTGAGAATCAGACAAATAAACAGTCACTAACCACTAATCCGCCTTGTGACTCTTGACAAGACTTTTGCAACAGGCTTGCCTGCCACAATCTTCATGACAACATCTTCCCATACCTTCTGATTTTTCATCCCTGATGACAATCTGGTCAGGGATCGCCATAGGACGCCATCTAAAGCATCCCAGGGTAAATCCGTCTTTAAGTTCTGACGGCGAACGTAACCTTCTAGGACCAGACGAGCCTCTAGCGTGTTAAC